GAAGATATGTGTTTACTATTTACTAGCACTAAAGATGCTCAGAAAGTTAATCAGACAGTATAATCGAGTAGATTAATATTTCATGCGTCGAGCCAACAACTCTATTTTTAGGTTATAATGAGAATCAGGCTGAGTGGTACTGATAAGAGTATGTAAGGTCGAAACTATAGTCCACTTCGGATGAGAACAATTTTTGGGAAAGTAAGGCTCTGTGAAATTCAATGGAAACGTCAAGTCTTCTCATATCATTTTGGGAAAATTCTACTATCAGTCTTTCATAACCTTTAACGAAATACTGTAAATGCATCTCATATAATTAAACTAAAAAGCATTTATCCCAAGTGAGCGTTAATTTTTGTCAATTGACTCTTTCTCCGTTCTCCAGGTCCACCAGCTTGTTGCCAGGCTGCACCCACGATGCCTTCTGGCAGCCTTGTCCCCTGTCTCATGCAGCTAGCTCGTTTGGTCTCAGAAGACCCCGTGCCCAACGTCCGTTTCTGCGCAGCCAAGGCGCTTAATTTTATCAGTCGCAATGTGGACAACAAGTCAGTTTTAATTTAAGTCTCAAGTATATATTTCGTATATTATACAGATCTATCTTCTTGTCTTCCTTTTTATTTGAAAAATAGTCTATTTGTAATAAAGTTAAATTGCGCTGAATATTCAAAAAGACCTGATATTTGATAAATATCGTCCACAGAATTTTTTTGTTTTTTAATTACCTTAATTTTCTTAATTCTAATTCATTTGTAGATACATAGAGTAATTGGGTTTCGATTAATTTCCTGAGATAACATTGTTGGGGTACTTTTATTTCGCATGAAAGAGCATGAGGAAGAGATTCGTAGGTCGATCTCATTAGAAAAGGACGGCTAAATCCCGTTGTATTGCAGCCGTTTGGCTTTTATACGACGTTCAGTTTGATGCAGTCTACGGGACCTCTCTCGTTTCGAATGAAAATGGGATGAGCTTTCGTCCATCATATGAGATGGCTATCATCAGAGCAATGGCCTCACCCAACCCGTGTGCAATGGGACGCAATCATATGTGGTAACGTTGCAGAATCAAAAAAGGCATAAGCGTTTTATGAGAGGATGCAGCTATTCGGTTATAATTGCATCCATTTCACCCTTCATCTGTAGCCACTTCACATATCATCCGCAGCCACTTAACTTATGAGCAAATATAGAGGCAAAGCATGGGACATCCAACTAAAACTTGAGATGTATACGTGGACCAAATCGGAATATAGGAAGGAAGGAAGTTTAAAGCCGGCCAATTTACTTTGGGCATTAACAATTACTTAGAATTCATTTTGACCCCGTATAAACCAAAGGCTCTACTGATATGAATCCCAAAATCGCTTTATAAAAATGCATATTCAAAATCTTTATGTAAAAGATTTTATGGTTTGAAGAAATATAACAATAAAGCGTTATGTGATCGGAGTTTTGACAAATGCTAAATAGTGTTAGCGACAATCCGATTTCCAATGTCCATAAGAAAATTATAACATTAAATGGAACAGCATCGTGGATAAAAGGCTATATGTATTCCGTTTTCACATGTAGTAAGAACATTTGATTCGAATCTAATCTGTACATGATGAAATGAAAGGGATGCTATATTCTAGTTTTTAGTTTAGCCTTAAAATTTTTGCTCATTAAAATGTATGCCTGTTTTCCTATAATTGAGGATGGAAATTTCGAGCTTGCTAGTGCGAATTCGAATCATGAGTGCTTAGGTCAAGGCGAACATGCCTTGACATCTAATAAAAATGTACCTGTCTTTCTACTCAAGGAAACTTAATTATACAGATAATAAATAGTCTCTGTTTGGTAGGAAGACTTAGAGGAACGCATCTAGTCCGGAGTCCATACAAAAGGCCACATCATCTTGGTCTTCAGACATTCAAATAAATAGCCTCATTTGCCTTATTGAAAACAGTATAATTCTCACATTGTTTTTTTCAACTTGGTCATATTAGCAGGAAGACCTAAAGGAACACATCTTGTCCGGAGTCCATAGTATCCATGATCGTTTTCACAGTTAGACCGTGGACTTGGACCCAGACGTTCCGCCAGAACCGTCTGTGAGTCTTGTCATTCTCAACAACCAAGCTACAACAATCGTCAAAGAGACAAGTGAAGTCAATCACTTCACTAACTTTTTGTTGAGACGGTTATGCTA